GCTGCCAGCCCTGGAAGGAGCTGGGGTGGCACAGGGGACGTGAGCAGGGTTCAGGTGGGGACCACCCCTCCCTCACCATCCCACTGCCCAGCAAAAGGCTGACAGTTCCCCCAGGGGAGCGAGCAGAGCGGGGCTGCTGCTCACAAAGACATCGTGTCTCCTCTGAAAGGAGATCCGTGTGCCTAATTAATCTCCTCAATTAGCTGGATCTGTGAGGCCTCTGCTTTCCCCTCACCTGGGGGTAACCCAATCCCCCGGCTGCTGTGCAGACTCTGGTGACAGGGCAGTGCTAAGCTGGGACATTGTCAGCAGCCCCAGAGCTGTCACCAGTGCCCTGCCTGTCCCCAGGTGCTGGCACTGTGCCTGGGAGTGAGGATCCTCAGGGAGGGAGTCCTGGCTGGGCTCTGGGAAGGGAACTGCTGGAACAAAGAAGCACAAATCCATCTTTTGGTGTTGGTGCACCAGCACTTGGAAAAACCTGAGTGCCAGCAGCTGTGGAAGGAGAACTGGAGAAGGACTTTGGACAAAGCTCTGGAGTGACAGTGGGAATGGCTCCCACTGCCAGAGGGCAGGGATGAATGGGATATTGGGAAGAAATCCTTCCCTGGGAGGGTGTGAGACCCTGGCACAGGGTGCCCAGAGCAGATGTGGCTGCCCCTGGATCCCTGGCAGTGCCAAGGCCAGGCTGGATGAGGCTTGGAGCAGCCTGGGACAGTGGAAGGTGTTGGTTGGTTGATCTTTAAGGTCCCTTCCACCCCTGCTTGAGCAGGAGGTTGGGTTGGAAGTGCTGGGTGGGCAGCACAGCAGTGGGTGCAGCACAGGGAGGTTTGGGAAAGCACACGGAAAAAGAAGTGGAAAAATACTCAACCAGAAAAAGTCAATTGAATGTATTAGTGTTTGCTGTATTTGATTACTGGGAAGGGTTCTCCAAGGCTACATGTCCAGCTTGATGGCAGAGAGAGAAATTGAGGCTGGGCCAGTAAACTGGGAGGGTTGTGGTGCTCCCAGCTCCCAGCTGTGCGACTGCAGGAGGAGAGGTTTGCTGGTTAGAGCTGCTGAAGCAAAAATGTTATTACCAAGTGCGGTGGTTTTAAGTGAAAAAAAAGATGGAAAAAGGAAGAACAGAACTAACACGGCCTTTCTTTTGATAAATATGATCAAGTTGGATTTTTTCAGTGTTGTGGTCTGCGGGGTTTGCAGTGAAATGCTCTGATCTGCTCTTGCAACTGGTGTTTGCAGAATGCTGCAGAGCAAGGCAGCACCAGGCCAAATGGACAAAACAAAATCAGAGAAAACAAGAAAATGCAGAAAATGATTATGCAGTGCCTTTACTCACCCATTATTCCTAAATCACCTTCTCAGGCCCAAGCAATCCCCATTGTTTTTCCCACTGCGTGTGCTCTCCGTGGGCAGTGTTGGCTCCTCGTGCAGGGAGGAGATTTACACACTGAAAAATGAGAGTTTGAGCCCGTGGTGCTAATGAGGCTCAGAGGAACTGTCTTTGTTTTCTGTTAGGATCTGAGCCTGGAAGTGGCCTCCTGTCAAGTTATGCTGGGAATATTCCTTAGCCAGGAATGAGTTTTTTTACGGTGGGGAATAACTGTTCTGGTCATTTCCAGAAACAGCTAAAAGAGTGAAAGGAGCCTCTCTGCCTTTGGAGAGCTGACAGTGCCAGCTCCTGGGGGAGTTGCTGCTGCCATCCTGATGTCTGTGCCCTCCTTGGGAGGTGCAGAGCACTGTTTTCCACTGTTTTCTGTGGGGCAGAGCAGGGCATCCCCCCTCGCCTGCCTGGGGCCATCGGGGCGTCCCTCCTGCCTCCTGCAGCTCTGCCAGCCAGAGGAGGGCTCAGCCTGGGCAAATAAGGAGCAGGTGCCCTCAGTTTGCACCCAGAGGCAGGCTGCCAGGGTGCTGGGGCAGCACGGGGTGGGTGCTGCAGGGCTGGACCACCAGAGCCTTGCTCAGGGCTCAGGGCTGTCACCCGGGCCAGGTGGCAGTGGCTGGCAGCAAGGACAGCGTCCTTCTGTGTCCCTGAGCTTCCTGCAGCTCTGAGTTGCCAAAAGGAGGTCACCCTCAAGCACACAGCTCGGGCTGAGCTGCTCCTGGCTGGCAGAGGCAGCTCAGCAGCACCGTGGGGCTGCCGGGGGCACAGGATGTGTTTGGCTCAAATATTTGATCCTCCCAAACCCCCCCAGCTGAGCTGGGAGCTGTGATCCCACGGGGACTTTAATTTCCTTCATTTTCCAAGGATCCCATATGGTTGTTGGGGTGGCAGATGGGAGAGTTTTCTTTTCAGGGGGATGTAAGATTGCAGTGCCTTGAATGCCAGAGAGGAGTGAGATTTCTGGAGGGCTGTTGAGTTCTGCTTAATTGCAAACAGAATTTGTTGGTGACTAATGCACCCAGCCTTGCAGCATTATCTCATGTTAGAAGCTGTGGCACGATGGAGAAGCCATGACTAAGACACTGGCTCCTGATTTACCAACACTTCCCTCCTAAACTGCTGCTGTGGCTCCCTGCTGCCACATTACAACTTTTCTATTAATAATTAAGAGCTTTAACACAGTTTGAAAGCGCTCGGTTCAACATAAAACCTTCCAGCCTGATTTTGAGTCTGCTGAGAGCATTTTGGGCAGAGAGGAAGAGGGAGGGGGTATTGATGGAGCAGAAAATGCAGCTGCTGAGCAAAAGGTGGAGTGAGATACTGGGAAGAAATCCTTCCCTGTGAGGGTGGGCAGGCCCTGGCACAGGTGCCCAGAGCAGCTGGGGCTGCCCCTGGATCCCTGGCAGTGCCCAAGGTTGGACAGGGCTGGGAGCAGCCTGGGACAGTGGCAGGTTGGGGTGGCACTGGATGGGTTTAAGGTCCCTTCCAGCCCCAGGCCATTGTGTGGCTCCAGGTCCTGTCCAGGCTGGGAGCTGTGGCTGCCTCCATTCCCTGCCCTGCCCCATCTCCCCTGCCTGTCCCAGAGCTGGGACTGTGTGGGAGCACTCACTGCTGGATCTGAAGCTTGCTGGTGGTACTGGTAATTCTCTGGTTCAAACAAACTGTTACTGAAGTGCTGTTCCCTGTTAAGATGTCAGGATGTCCCATCACCTGGAGCTCACCTGGCACGAGGACACCTGTGCTGGCCCCAGGCTGCTCCTGCAGCTTCCTTCCTGCAGCGCTTGCTCTGCTGAGAACTCTTCCATTGCTGACTCTCTGCTTGCTCCCTCGCTGTCTCCAGCTCTAGCAGCAGGCTCTGAGCTCCGTGCCAGAATTCTGTACCTGTCACCTCCTCCCTCTGCACCACGGAGCACCATCCATCTGCGCCTGGAAATGGGAATGTGGGACAGCAGCTCCAGCTCTCCTCCCCACAGCCACAGCCCATCCTGGGCTCTCTCTAACTCCAGTGGAAAAGCTTTTGGATGGCTTATGAAATGACTAAAGCAGGGAAATATTCCCACACATGGGAAATCAGCCAAGCAGCAAAGTGACAAGACAAGCCCATGTGCTGGGTGTCATCAGGATTACAGAGGGACACGTCCGTGTTGTTGGAAAGAAGATCCTGAAATCTGTGCTGATGGAGATGGGGAACTGGTAAATGGAGATGTGGGGAAGGTCTGTCCTGAAGAATTTGAGATTTTTTGGACCAGTTTGGTCAAGTGATGCTGACCACAGGCCATTCCAGCTGCTTATTTCTTTAAATTTCTTTAATTTTTTTCCACCCAAACAAGCATGCAGCAACATTACTCCTGAGAGACTAACGCTGCAGAGAGTTTAACATCATTTTTCTTGCATTAAAGTACCAAGCAGGAAGAGCCCTGCCAGACTGGTGGTCAGGTCTGGGGTGGTGCTGCCAGTGCCCAGGAGCTGCTTCCTAGAGCCCATCCATCACTGCAAGCTTTGCTAGGACCTGCTGCACTGCTCGAGCTCCATGAGCTTCCCAAACCCAGGCTGCCTCCCATTTCATTTAGGCACCAGAGCCATGGCTGCTGGTGAGCTGCAGTCTTGTCCTTTTTTCAGCAGAGCTGAAGTGCTCTGGCATTACATAAAGCTGTAATTTTCTTTTTTCTTGTTACCTTTGAGGAGAACCTTATGTTCTGCAGCTTTGTTCTATGGGAATAGATCAGGGAGCAAAGGGCTGGGTGGTCCTTGATGTATTTTTCTGCAGTCAGGTACTGATCATGTCAGAACGGGAATATTGTTGTTTATTCTTGAGGTGATTTCATGAAAGGGCTGGAATGCATCAGTGGGCTCTGCCCGTCCGTAGCTCTGAGATGTTCTGTGGCAGAAATAGCCCCGAGTCCCACAAAAATAAACAAGTCGTAAACATGTTTGAAGTGGAACCGATGTCCTCTCGGCCAGGAGATCAAAGCAGCAGGAGCTGTGTGGAGCCCTGCTGCGAGGGGCTCTGAGAGCTGCACATGCCCGGGGCTCTGAGCCGCTGAGGAGCGCCCAGGCAGCCAGGTGGAGGAGCAGGAATGAAAGAGGCAGGTTAGGAGGAGCACAAAAATTTTTTTTTTTATCTCCAGCAACTCCAGCAGAGTCTTGAAACAAGAGTTGCTGCTTTTTTTTTTTTCACGTGTTTGGGCAGCAAACTAAACATCTGCATGGGAAAGGCGGCGTGTACGGCCAGCTCGGGAAGCAGGGAGGAGGATTTAGCTCCTCAATTCATTTCCAAGTACTGCGTTGGCTGGAAGAGTGGGATTGCCAGAGGGACACATGGAGTGGAAGGTGCAGGTGCCCCTGCAGGTGCTGTGGCTCAGTGCCCGTGCCCAGCAGTGCTCCCTCCCTGTGGGATCACAGCCTCTGCTTCCGAGGCGCAGTCGGACCGGCAGGAAGGGCAAGAGCCTCAGGATGCCTTGGGCTATGGACTTGTGGAGTTCCCCCAGCTGCTTCTGCTGGGGACAGGTCCACTCTCACCTTGGAAGACTCTAATTTGAGCCACTTCTTTGTTTCCTGCTTCTGATGGTTTTGGTTCTTAGCACTTTTCTCTGTTTTGTTTCCACTGTGCACCCAACAGGAAGAGCCCCTCGCAAAGCCCTCCTGAGTAAGAAGAAGGAAAAAAAGTCCAGCTGACATTTGCTGCCTGCAGGCAGCTGCCAGAACTTCCCCGCAGCCTCTCACCATCTCTGCTCTATTTGTGAGAAACAAAGGAAATTGGATCCTACAAGAAAACTGTTCTCAAAACACCAGAGACCTCGGGATAGCCCGTTCCCTCATGTGCACTGACATCTCCAGCAAGGCAGGACTTGGGTCTGGCAGTCACATAAGCTCAGGAAGGTGAAACTCAAGCAGCAGCTTGGAAATAAATACCTGTATTTCATGGGAGGGAGGTGAACCCTTCATACCCATCATACCCCAGGGTCTGTCGGTGCTGGGGAGCAGCTCAGGTGAGTCCTGAGCTGTCCATGGGCTCTTCTTGAGGAAGTGTTCTGGAAGGACTTGCAGAGCAGCTCAGTCACCGTAGGACCGTGTTCATCTCCTCTGTGAGCCCCTGAGGGGCACGGGGTGCTCTGCACACCCCAGTGCTCGCGCTGCAATCAGTGAGCCGCTCTCTCCGTGCGTTCGCTGGGCACAGAGTGTGACACCAAGGATCCAAAGGCACCAAAACCCTGCTCCAAATTAGGGGTGACTTCTTAGGCAGAGGCTGGCCCCAGTGTTGGTTCTTTCAGGCTTTTTTCCCTGGTAACTCTGAGATCCTGCTGGCATTCCCCGCTGTCAGGAGCGGAGCGGGCGCGCGGTTCTGGAGCGATGACAGCGCCTTGAGGAGAAATGAGAGCTGCATTCTTCTGCCATGACTTCATCTCAGAAAGTGCAGTAGCAATTTCCAGTCCTGGAGCCCTGTGTCACTGGATTTTCCTTCCTTTGTGCACTGGAGAGGACCAGGGCTGGTGGCAGACATGGTGCCCATCCCATGCTGACACACCAGTGCCATGTCCCAGTGCCCATCCCAGGCTGGCACACCAGTGCCATGTCCCAGTGCCCATCCCAGGCTGGCACACCAGTGCCATGTCCCAGTGCCCATCCCAGGCTGGCACACCAGTGCCATGTCCCAGTGCCCATCCCAGGCTGGCACACCAGTGCCATGTCCCAGTGCCCATCCCAGGCTGGCACACCAGTGCCATGTCCCAGTGCCCATCCCAGGCTGGCACACCAGTGCCATGTCCCAGTGCCCATCCCAGGCTGGCACACCAGTGCCATGTCCCAGTGCCCATCCCAGGCTGGCACACCAGTGCCATGTCCCAGTGCCCATCCCAGGCTGGCACACCAGTGCCATGGCCTCTTTCACCTCGAGCTTACAGCCCAGTGCTGGGAGGGCTGGTGGGTGTTGGTGGCCACTCTCAGCAGGACAGGCTCAGCCACATTTTGGTCACCAGGTCATTGCCCCTCCAAGTCCCACCTTGGCCAGGCTCCTCTTGGAGAAGGGAATTGCTAGGCCGTCTCTTTGAAAGAACTGGTGCTTAAAGGGTTAATTTTGGCAGTTTGGGATGACTTGGTGACCTTGGTAGCACCTCCTGTTTGGGGTGGGAATAGAAGGAGTATCTGGTAAGTACCAATGGTTGTCAGGTTTGGCTAAGACCAAGGAAAACTCATTTTTCAAAAGATGGACAGTTTTGGTGATAGAAATGCTAAATGGTTGTCAGGTTTGGTTAAGACCAAGGAAAACTCATTTTTCAAAAGTTTTGGTGATAGAAATGCTAACGGATTGTTTTTACATAGTGATGATTATTAGCAGAACATTCTGAGGATCTTGAATGACTGCCTGACAGCATTCCCTGTTTTCCAGCCTCTGGTGAAGTCATGCTGCACTCACTGCTGTATCCATTTCTCTGTGTGTGTAATCTTCTGACACAATAAAGGTGTTGCCTGTAATTTCAGAGGGAATTAATCAGTGTCTGTTGAATCCAGTGACACAGCTTCTGCAAGGAGTCCAGCCAAGAGTTTGGCCCTAAGCAGAGATGGTCCAATTTCCAAGGGGAAAGCATCCATGTCATAAATATCCCCCTGTGGTGGCAGCCAGAGGACACTGGGAAGGTTAAACGTTGTTCTGAGCTCCTGCAGGGCTGAGGTTCTCCACGTGTTCTGGAGCCACCATTCCCTGAATCCCTTCCCTCTACCCCAGGAGGCCCCAGCTGAGGGAGAGGGACATCCTGGGGGTTGTGCCCTGTCCCCACCTCATCACAGACCTGTGTGATCAGTGGTACTGTTCTTCTCTCAAAGAGAAAATATCAGTCATGATGCTTTTACAAAACTTCTTGTTTTTACAGAGGCATTTGCAGTGTGGAGAGAGATTTCTGGTGTTTTATCAGGGATGGAGTTTCTAATCTGAATTGGATAGGGAATACCAATGAGTGCTAAGCAGAGAAGCATTAAATGCATCCAACTGGTATTTTGGTACAATAATTGCTTTTTGGTGAACTTGAGAATGACCTGAATCAAAGAGTCTGGAAGGACCCAAAAACTTCTGTGTGCAATTACCAGTTCAGTAACTCGATTCAGCTCCAGTTGACAGCTGTGGCTTCAGGAATCAGCACGAGGGGGGAAAGGGAAGTAAAACATGGAAAACAAAATCAATGACATTTTTATCCACTGAGTGTACGAGCACCACAAGTGACAGACAGAGGGGGTGGAGGCTGCTCGCAGGCACCATTAAGATGCAGAATTCCAGCAGCTCTTTCTGGGAGCTCTGGGGAAGCACAGGCAGGTAAGTGGCACGGGGTGCCAGCTCGGGGCAATGCAGTGGGGTTTAACTGGAAGATCCAGCTCTTGTTGTCCAGACAAACGCAGACCCAGCCTTGAAACACTTCCCAAGGTCTTGGCACTCCATTCTGTGTCTCACGCTCGGGATATTCCCAAGGCGCTCGCTGTCGTCGGCTGCCGTCTGTGTGTCTCTGGGTTGCTGTTTGTTGCTGTGCTTGCACGTTGATAAGGTCTCTGGTTATGTCTTGCAGCCCTCAGAATCCAAGCCCAACGTCACCCCTGTCACCGTCCTGGCCCATGTTCTCTGCGCCATCAAGTCCTATGCCCACCTCCTCTACGTCCAGCGACTCATCCCCCATCAGGTCTGTTGCACAATTCGCTTGGCTTTCTGTTGCTTTTGCTATTTCTGTTGAATTTCCCCAGTTTCCCCCCCACTTCACTTCCCTTTCCCTTGGCATCCTGCTTGAACCCTCCCAACGCAGCTGCCTGCACTCAGCAAGAGGGGAGCTTCCAAAGGCCCCTGCCCCGGGAGAGCCCCTTGGGACACCCTGCAGCCCCAGGTGAGGGGAGCAGGAGCTGTGCTCGGTGTCACTGCCGGGCTCAGCTCAGCTCAGTGCTGCGCTGGCTTTGCTCTGCAACAGGTAAGAAGAGTACTGCAAGGAGTAAAGGGCCTCTGGAAAGCTCTGCCAGCCCTGGTTTTCTGGCCACGGCCTCGTCTGGGATCCCAGGAGGGTGACGGGCACGGGGTAGCACGGGCTGCTCCCAGGCTAAAGGTCCTTGGGCATTGCTGGGGCAAACCCTTCCTGGAAGCTGCAGATGAACCAGGGCAGGATTCCCAGCAAGTCTGGGAGCAGTGGGTGAGGCTGAGCTGTGTGCCAGCCCCGTGGGGTCCCCCTGTGCCCTGGGGTGCCTGGCACAGAGCAGGCACTGCCCGGGGTCCCGTGCCCTTGGCACCAGCGATGCCGTCGTGCCCTGAGTGCACCGTGGGCCTGGAAATTCCTTCTGTTTTCCACCTGATGGTCTCAAGCACTCCACATGAGTGGTGCCTCCCGGCAGTGAAGGACCCTCTGGAGTGGGAGGATTGTTTGCCCATCCTGGTTTTTAAGTGTTTGGGAGCTGCTCGTGTCAGGGAGCTGGAATTTGCAGAAGAGAGATCTCATTTTGGGGCTCTCTTTGCAGCAAAGCCAAAGCCATTCCCAGCTCCTGAGCTTGGGGTTTGGTGTGAAGGAGAGCTGCTCTTGCCATGAAGCCTTGCTGCTTCCCTTGGCTCACCCAAGGAACTCAGGGGAACTTCAAGTCCTCAAAAAGAGAAAAATTGGTAAAACCACTGATCTGAGAACGGTGACACCTTGTTCCCCACCCCAGCAGCTCCCAGGGGCACTCATCACTTCCCTTGGCCATGTCACAGCTGAGCAGCAGTGCTGGATGTGTCTGGCTGCTCGAATGGCCAGGGCCTGGCTGGGCTGGCACTGGCACTGGCACTGGCACTGTCAGTGTCACTGCGGCCTGGCAGTGTCCCAGCTTTCCACCAGCCCTGCTCCAGCCCAAAGCTGGGGAGGATGGCTGGGGATTCTAGGTGCAGGGGCAGCTCTGTGTGCCTGTGCTGTGCCTGAAGAGCCCTGAGGTCCCTCATTTTCTGCTCTCTGCCAGCAGTTTGCTCCATTCCTGCCTCTCCCTGCTCCGATTCCCTCCCCTGCAGCGTGGGCACGCTGACACTTCCAGCAAAATCTAATGGCTTTTAAATCTTTTTTACCTTCTGGTACAGGCTCTAAAGAAGTGCAACAAATTCTTCATGGACCTGCTTGTCTTTCTGTTTAGAAATAACCTTCCCCAAGTGCTAATTCTTCCTTGTGAAATTCTCCTTGTGGCTGCAGCTGCACTTGGATGGGTTTGGCAGAGGGGCCAGGGCAGAGGGTCACTGCCAGCACCTGCTGCCACCTTTGCTCTGTGCCAGCCTCTGGTCAGTGGTGGCACCCCAGATACAGAACATTCCAGCCTAAAGGAGATGAGGGGACCCCTGGCTTGGGCTGGTGCTGTTTGGGCACCAGTGTGGGCTCCAGTCCAGCTGGGCTCCAAATGGGATTTGCACTGGGGTGGAACGTGGCTCATCCTTGAGAGCCTTCAGCCTCTGCTGGTCTCCCTCCCCCAGGGCAGGGGAGCTGAGGTGCCAGCAGAGCAGCAGCCCAGCAGAGTGGCACTGTGAGGGCTGTGGTGTGTGTGTGTGTCCCTGTGCCCACGGTGTCTGTGTGTCCTTGTGCCCACGGTGTGTGTGTGTCCCCTCCCCATGGTATGTGTGTCCCTGTGCCCATGGTGTGTGTGTGTCCCTGTGCCCACGGTGTCTGTGTGTCCTTGTGCCCACGGTGTGTGTGTGTCCCCTCCCCATGGTAGTGTGTGTGTCCCTGTGCCCATGGTGTGTGTGTCCCTGTGCCCATGGGGTGTGTGTCCCTGTGCCTGTGGTGTGTGTGTGTCCCTGTGCCCACGGTGTCTGTGTGTCCTTGTGCCCACGGTGTGTGTGTGTGTCCCTGTGCCCATAGTGTGTGTGTCCCTGTGCCCATGGTGTGTGTGTCCCCTGCCCACGGTGTGTGTGTGTCCCTGTGCCCACAGTGTGTGTGTTGTCTTGTGCCCACGGTGTGTGTGTCCCTGTGCCCATGGGGTGTGTGTCCCTGTGCCTGTGGTGTGTGTGTCCCCGTGCCCACGGTGCCCTGTGCCCATGGTGTGTGTGTCCCTGTGCCCATGGGGTGTGTGTCCCTGTGCCTGTGGTGTGTGTGTGTCCCTGTGCCCACGGTGCCCGTGTCCCCTGCCCACAGTGTGTGTGTCCCCGTGCCCACGGTGCCCTGTGCCCATGGTGTGTGTGTGTCCCTGTGCCCACGGTGCCCTGTGCCCCCGGTATGTGTGTGTCCCTGTGCCCACGGTGCCCTGTGCCCACTCTGTGTGTGTCCCCTGCCCATGGTGTGTGTGTTCCTGTGCCCACAGTGTGTGTGTGTGTGTCCCTGTGCCCGTGGTGTGTGGCTGTCCCCATGCCCACGGTGCCCTGTGCCCGAGGTGTGTGGCTGTCCCCGTGCCCACAGTGCCCTGTGCCCGTGGTGTGTGGCTGTCCCCGTGCCCACGGTGTGTGTGTGTCCCCGTGCCCACAGTGCCCTGTGCCTGTGGTGTGTGTGTCCCCGTGCCCACGGTGCCCGTGCCCTCTCTTGCAGCTCCCCTCTGCGCAAGGCCCGCGCTCTCTACGCCTGCAAAGCCGAGCACGACTCCGAGCTCTCCTTCACGGCCGGCACCGTGTTCGACAACGGTGAGTGCTGCTCCCCAGCCAGGGCCCGCGTGCTGCAGCCTGTCCCTGTCCCTGTCCCTGTCCCTGTCCCTGTCCCCTCCTGTGAGCCCAGGGCAGGCCCTGCTGGGCTGTGCCTGCCCGGCGCTGGCCGTTCCCGGAGCTGTTCTGTGCAGGATCCGATCCCGGACAGCGGCACCAGCAATGCTCCGGGGAGCTGCTGCAATGGTTTGTGCAGGAGGTGGGGAAAGCCACGTGTGCATTTTCCCTGTGGATCTGGGAGCTGCAGCAGGTGGGCTTTGCTGGCTCAGACCACGCTAATGAGCACGGGTTTGGTGTTTCCTGCACCAGGAGTTTGTGCCCCACGGAGCTGAGCAGCCCTGGCTTAGTCATAATCCCAGTGCAAGGAAAAGACTTTTTACTACTTTCCAAGTCATTCTTGGCTTTTAAATGTTAAGCATTGTCATTTGGGAAGCTGCTACCACATGCACTGTTTTTGCCCTGGGATATAGAGGCGAGTACAGCAGAAAGGGGAGGAGAATGAATACATGTGAATTAAAGACAATCCTTCTCCGAAGCAGCTCCATAGTCATCTTATAAATAAACATGGTCTCCCCTCTGAGGGCCCGTGGGAATCAGAGCAGCCAGGAGGGGAACAAGTTTGAATTAAATACATTATGTTTGCTGATAAAAATCAATGGATTATTCAAGGGAAAAAGTACACAGCGTGTTCCAGTCACTCGGCAGCACAGCCGGGGTTCACGTTGGCTGGGGGATGTGAGGCAGGACCAGCCTGGCTTGGGGAGCCTTGCTGTGATCGAGGGCCTTTACAAACCCCAGCGAAGCAAAGGGGTCTTGGCAATACTTGGAGCCAGGGTTGAGTTTCTGTGAGGCTGCACGTGGCTGATCC